CAGTGGAGCATCGTGAGATGCAGTCCCATGGTAGCCGGTGATCAATGATTGATTCGTACGCCATTTGTTCCCTCAGGATACTGGAGCCCATGTGCACCATTGGTTTGGAATCAAGGTTTTCCAACTCCTCTGGGTGGACTTTCCGTGTCCACCGACCCGGATAAAGCGCTGGACATTCGCTTTTCGTCCTCCCAATTTCGTAAACAACACCCCCGCCACGAGTAGGACTTCCCTGGCAGGGGCCATATATTCGCTGGCCATATGAGAGCATTTCGAGCGGGAGAGCGGACTCTCCCCACTTTCGGCCGTACCAGGGCATTTGGGAGCACGTAATTTTATGTAGTCGATATTTATCCTCATTATTAATCTCATAGTTTCATATAACGCGTAAACTTATTTACTTTGATATTGGGTACTAGTTATCCCAATATCAACAACTTCATTCTATCTTACGAACAGTCCTAAATCAAAATACTTATCTACTCCATTCATGCTGTGGATTATAAGCTTTAAAAATTAGGTGGACGCATTCGGATAAGTTGTGACAACTGAGTGAGCAGTAGTACTAGCCGGGTAACATTATGTATGAAGGAATCCTAGAGACTTACAACAAGAAATAGTAACCAGCAACTAATCAATCATCAACTCGGCCAGAATCAGCTGTACATTGAAAATGTCTTGTTTTAGCCTGACAGATAAAATTACGTAGATAAATTAAAAGATCTGAAGAATTCTTAATACTAAAACTAATTAACTCCTGTTTCTGATGTTTAGAAACCTTTTTATTCCTTAAAATACATTTGTTCCAAAATGAATAGTTTATTTGTAAATATTACAACTTCCAACTCGTAATTATTACCAAGCAATGCACGTTAAAACACCACATATCGCCAAATAATTGTAGAAAATGTGGTTTGGTTGAGTTGCTACAACTCTTCGCATTGGGGGTGCAACAAATATTCGATATTATATCATGTCAATAAAAACAACAGGAAACAAAAATAGATATTTGAATCCCAGGTATTTTTGGATGTTATGAAGAATTTATTCTTTCAATCACGTTTTCTAAAACTCAAATATTATCCCAAATCAAATAAGCGAACTTCGTGCATTAATTTGACCTGAAGTATCTAAGATCATCATTACGAAAATAATAGATGTTTTTTAGTTCGAGTGGTTGACTTTAATACACTTGAAAAGATCCAAGATTTCTTAATCGTAAAAGATTTTAATATTTTATCTGAAATGCTTGAAAAAGTTTATATGGCCTTGTACAACAACCTTAAGTAAGGCATAACGCAATCCTAATTGAAATCGACTTCAATCCGACTATTCAGTAGCTTTAACTCATGAGAAGCGAAATAATGTGCAAGACTGGACTATGAATAAATCTTGTGGTCATTTGACAGTAATGTTAGTGAACTGTGAAAAACTATCCGAGTGAATATTTTAGGAACATAAAAACTGATTCGAACAAAACACGACTACCGGCATTCAAGTAAGTTGAATATAAACAGTCAATTGGAATTTTGTAGAGCTAATATATTTCTGTGGTATACAATATTTTTGATGGAAAAGATATTTTACATAAAATGGCATTTAAAAGATGTTAGTACATTACCGACAAAATCATACTTTCAATCAGCTTTTCAGTGGTTCCGTAACTCGTGTTTACAGACCGTAGATGAGATCACGCAGCTATCAGTCACAGTTACATTCCTCTATTTTTCTCTAAATCCGGAACTCATTACTATGAAAGATCAGAAGGGGTTTTGTGGTAATTTTAGTAAATTTATATAGTTGAGATCATGAGTCGATTGAAGCTAGACACTATGGAAAACCTGGAAGCACTGGGCAGCCGTTTCGTCCTATTATGAGACTCCTCAGCAGTGCGCATCCACGATCCCGTACTCGCGAGTTATTACTATTACTCCATTAATTCGCTTTCTCAACTGTCCTGTCAGATATGATAGTTCGGACAAATGCACATTTGTACTGAATCCATAGGTATTTACGACTGCTCAACATCAATCTACTGAAAGTATTCTGATCACACAATCGATTTTGAGATTACTTCAGTAAATTTATCTTAAAGAGTGAAGAAATAATTTTGTGGCAACAACTAACAATATAATCATAATTTAAAAACTAGTAGTTGCTGAAAAGATGAATCGCCACACAGAATCTACAAGATATTGATAAGCAGACAGTTCACTATGTGCATAGGCGGTTAGTAATTAAAAGCGTGTTCAAGGTTACAAATAGTAAAAACTAAACAACTTTTCACACTACTACTGTTACAATAGAAAAATGTGAACAGCATATTTATTAATACATTCAAAATAGATAAGTAGTATATCTAAACAATTCAAACAAGAGTAAAGATACAAATGTATTTACATATTTGTTTAATTAAAATGAGATTTAGAAAACAACTGGCTGATTATAAAAGTAAAAAGGTTTAATCAATCAGTTCGCAAAATTTATGAGCATGACCTTAATCTTTCATGATAGCTACAGGAATTCATTTTTCTTAAAAGCAGATAATCAATTTGTTTACGTGCATAACGCACATAGTGAAAACTATACTTACGTTGTTAAGAGTATTAATCGAAGTTTGTGTAGTATTCTAGTAAGCTTTACCAGGTGTCAATCTATTGTCTTAATTTTAAGATTATATATTGTAGAAACAAAATACACATGGACTATTTGATAATAAAAAAAAGAACAGCCCGGCAGTACACAAATAAGAAAAATAATACACCCAATTTAGATTTAATGTCTTTTGAAGGTTTATAACGTTCACCAAATTGCAGTCTGGAAGGGAAATATGTCCACCTTTATTTGATCTAATGCAATCGGGGAAAATGTTAATGACCATACGCGATCAATAGTTTACCACAAAATTTTTGATTACGACAGAAAACAGAACATTGAATGTCCAGTTACATACAGACTAGTTTGTCGATAGATCAATTCAATATAACTTTGATATTGTGTACAGGATTAGAGGTTTGTAATTAATAAATGTTGACAATATTCCAAAATAAAACAAGATATCAGGAAGTTACTTCTAAAAACGTTTCCATGTTTTAATTATAATGGATATCGGATAATTTAGTAAGCACAGAGGTTTGATGCGATAGGACTGAGATTCACTAATTATATAGTTCAATATTCAATAAATGATTGAAATTTTAAGTCTCACTCCACCTACTCTAGTTTAGACGACTGGGTAGGATCATGCATACAATTGAAGACCATTTATTTACTTTTTACAATAAACCAGTTGCATGGAAAGGAACGCAATTTCGTCCAAAACACATCACAGCAATCATGGATCAAACTAGTAAAAAATCTCTAGTGTAGGATATCTTTAGCACTATACAGTGCCTGCAACAATACACTAATCATAAACAGAAAATTAGTATGACTGATAAATTAGTGTTTAAGGCGCTCGAACTATAACCAGTAAGTTGCAAGTTCGAATCTCGCCTCGCCAACTTGTTCGGAGATCCACCAGCCTGGTTACATGAAACGGCCTGGTAAATAAGTTATCAAATTAATAATCACCTGGTAAGACGAGTTTTAATAATCACAACAAATGACTGATGAGACAGGTACTAACGAAGTAATTGAAGTTCACATAATGATTTATAAGTACTACAGTGAAATCGACATTCTGAGCTGTACTACCATGATGCTTAATATTACGATAAAACCCGTCAGATGACATTTGAAAGTGATTAGATGGAGGATTAAGGTTAGATAAAAATGTACAAAAAAGCATAAGAAATGGTCAATGATAATTTTGAGGGAGCTCTGTTATCTGATATTATACTTATGAGCCTTGATTACAAAGTTACCCAATCAAGGATCGGTCTGATAAACAGTCAACCATATTACACTTTCTAAAGAATGTTTTCCACTCTAAATTCTTATATCTATGAACTGGACGATGAACGTTCATTATAGAATTAGTCGGATAACCAACACTTGATCTACTTACAACATTACTTCGTTAGCTATCAACTGAAAAAAGTATTGATCTTGAAATCAAATCAATCACGATTACACAAAAACACCTAGAAACAATCGGAACAATCAATTGCGATTTATTTTTAATACACAAGCAATTAGGTGTACAAACTGTCTAAATATTTAATCACTATTGCTCAGTCAAACCCTAAAACGCGACAACTTAATACGACTGATGACTATTCTTTACACTGAAAATAAAATGACAATTATATGATAGTATTAATTTTTCAGTCATATTAATCATTGAGTTGGTTTAGGTGGATAATTTAATCCTTGAAATAACAAAATCCACATTACTACGCCACAACAGCATAGTAGTTTAAGCAAACAAAAGAAGCACTAAAAACATTTCTGATTCACCTTAAGAATCAAATAATACTTGCTTATGATATACTATCTTTAAGATAAGGTATAATCTTCCAGTGTGCAAGCGGACAGAAAACTTTCTCAAGTGTTTTCATATGTACGAGTATAAAATATTTTATAGACGTATATGACCTTATTTGTCACAAAACATATTTTGTAGCTGGATTTCTTTCAGGGACACACGTAATAAATAAGTGCATTTTATGATGATGCTACGATATTCTTTAAGAAAAAGATTATATAAGTGTAAGTCAATAATGAAGTCAATTCAAATATTTTAGTATGGAAATGTAAATTAAACGCTACACACAATGATAAAAAGAGAGTTTGGTAACATTCAGTGCTTAACAAGATGAATAGGCTATTTAACGTAAGTAAACATGTAAGGATGTGTTAACACACACGTACAATAAAATCCACTAAGTTTAACATTAAGAAAACAAACGCATTTTAATAAACACAATCAAACGCATACTTATGAGAACATATATTACAGTATAAAATATGGACTTAATGTGATTTATGTGCATGGTCAATTCATCATTCATTCATCATCACGCATTATTATCATCAGTGGAACCAATTGCAGAAACTCAGTAGAAAATTTGATGTAGCCTTTCTGATGATTCACTCTTTTTGTACAGACAAACACAGACGTTCAAAGCTAAATTGGAAAGAGTATATAGATAAAACGAACAAAGTTAAATTATTTTTTTATTATACAGAAGCTAATAATCACATCTTATTTTATAGTAACAATTGACAAACAACATATTTTGTGTAATGAAGCTATTTTTGCTTCTCAATGGACGACAATATTTAGCCGCTTATGGTATTCCCCTACTTTCCTATTACATAACAATCTGCTATGTTGTGCTTTAATTTGTAACTTAAAAATGGAACGATTAAGCTATCCAGAACCAGACACTATAAAGGCTTCAACGTTACAATCCGAACAGCTCAGCCCAATCCTGTGGCGCAACCACTCAGGTACCAAACACCCTGGTGGACCAAAGCTGTCCAGACTATTTATATTTTAACAAGGAACTACTTTTTATTATTGTGAACAACAAACCAAAAAGATACAAAATAACAACATTGCCTAAAGGTGACTTTTATCTCAGTTGCTGAACTATTATGCAGTTGCAGAGTGCCATTTGTTTATTACTTTACGAACAAAGAAAGAGTAGATGAAAATAGGTTAACGAAGTACTAAGGATTATACAGTATGATATTAGTTACTTTTGGCAACCGATCTTATAGGAGATTACTTACGAGTTGAATATTATTATGTTTCTTCGAAGTTATAAGTACATCTTACTGATGGGTGTCGACACATACAGAACCTCTGTTTAAACCTCCCAAACGACTTCGTTAAATATTTAAAACCACATGAATAAGAGAAAATTCATAAGAAGTTTGAAAAATATACATTTATTAGATTTAAACTTTAAATACAAAACATGGAGAGTACGTATTGATCAAACTATAAATCTTTATGGATAATAAGTAAGAAAGAAGTAATTGAGTAATTATTACATTGATGACTGCCAATACAATGATACAGTGAGAAGGTAATAAGAGATTTGCGTATTCACCTGGAATATTTTTGCTTTAATATACTTGAAGCAACAATAAATTAGAAGTATTCACCACACTAAACTTTCAAACATGCTTCTTTCTATTAGTAGGTACCTAATTTGTTAAAGTATCTGAAAACTGGTTTGAGATCACTTTATTCTCACAGTGAAGATGGCACCACTTTATAACGTTATAAGAAAATTGACTGTACATCTAGAACGATGTTCACATTTGAAGAAATGATGCTTATATACACAACCTAATTTTGTGTATTTGTGAGAAACATTACGGTGAGTCATTACATCTACTAAAGACAAAGACATGCGTTGATATAGAAAAATCAAATAAGCTTTCCCATCTAATTGATTTGCAGTATCCAGTTCGTATGGTCACCGATTATACAACAAGATATATTCACTAAAATTAAACTGCTTCAAGTTCAAATTATTACTCAGGTACAAAGTAAAATAAAGTCAAAGCATGATTGGTCCTACATTTTGATATCTACTAACAAACGAGCAACCCGACTGTAGCTCATCTAGAGTTACGCCCTGTCACAAGCCCGGGTAAAGGAGGAGAGTTGGGCATTGGGTCATCAACACCATTCGTTGAAAAAAATCTTACCGAAAAACATCAACCGGATTAAACAAATTAAACCATTTAAACTCTGCCCTACAAGTTGAAAGAAGAATTATGACGCCTCATGATAAAAGCCGATATTCTTCAGAAATTATGAGGCCGATGCCGCTTCTAACAACCACAGCAACAATTTTTATAGATACATGGAACGTACGGACGATGTGGGATACCGGGAAGACTAGTCAAATAGCAATGGAAATGAGGAGATACAACATAGCAGTACTCGGAATCAGAGAAAACTATTGGAATACAAAGGCTAGATACGGGAGAGATGCTGCTGTAATACGGTCACGAAGAGGAAAATGCCTCGCACACTTGGAGTGTTGCTCTGATGCTGTCAAAGAAAGCACGTATTACATCTATACGATTGGGAATCTCACGGGTCCAGGATCATCACAGCATCCTTAAGAAAACAAAGAAGAATAGAATCACGATGAATGTTATCCAGTGTTACTCACCCACCAATGATAGCAACGACGACAATAAAGATCAGTTTTATGAGAAACCACAATCAATCATAGCGAAGTGTCCACGAAAAGACCTGATCATCCTGATAACAGACCTAAACGCCAAACTCGGGATGGACAACGCCGGATATGAAAATACCATGAAACGACATGGACTGACAGGGAGAAAGGAACGAGAATGGGGTGATTCGCAAATTTATGTGCATTCAACAAATTGGTTATAGGCGGCACAATATTCCCACACAAACACATACACCAAAGCTACATGGTTCTCACCGGACCACAATACACGGAATCAGACCGATTATATTTGTACCAATACAAAATCCAGAAGGTCGATGGAAGACGTGAGAACCAGAAGAAGAGTCGACAGAGGCACTGATAGGATTGATATCAATCATATGAGATGTACTGTCAAGATTTCTTTGGGTTATTATTTCTATTATCAGGAGTAATCTCCAACTATTAGCACGTCGAACCCATATGAATGCCTTACTAAAAATATCTTAGTTTGATAAAGCCTTTAACATTAAAAACATCAACTATATCTTGTGAACGAATACATTCATAACTACATCGACCAATAAAGGGGTACATTTGTGCAGAGTTAAATAGGCAATGATTCTCCAGATTGGAAATTAAATCTTGCATTTATATCATAAAATGCCTTTCATTTCCGACAAATATAAGATTATTGGTTTGCTTAGGTACTTACTTGACTTAGATCTATTGGACTGATAACACAAATTTCATTATAATAACCAAGAACACTCAAATGATACTGTAAACTCAATTTAGTAGACATGCTGTGATGATACATACTAACTTAGTTAATTCACTCGGGGAAATCACCTTAATTTTCATATGGCCGGGGGTAGCTAATTTAGTACATCATAGGCGTTGGTCACTTTATTAATCTGTCATAATCTCATCACTTGGTCAACGTGCATCAAGTGACAGATTAAAAATCACTCCACTGATTCCTGGATTGTTTAAACATTCTAAAAAATTAGGTATGTCTACTGAGTTAATGGCTCCATTCCACGATTCTATGTACAAATATAGGAACATATTTTTGACCAAACATCTAAAAAAACTGATGTTCTCACACAAACTAAGTAACGTAATGCGATGGGAAAAATTATAATCACTAAAGAGAGATTACTTCAATTAATTCAATAAAAATGGGTAAACATACCAGCCCTACATATTGATTCTGTTTGCATATGAGTTGTATTGCCGCTGATATGAAGGAAAATTGTTTCCGAGTGGAGAATGAGACGCCATATTATAACCGTGCATGGAATTATACATACCAGGGTTGAAATCACGTGAACCATGGACATTCATTGATGGGTTGTATTGCCAGGCTAAAAAGCAAAGAAGATGGATTTACTATAAAAACAGAGTACCCCAAGGGTTGTGCGAGTTTCCAAAATGCGAATTAGGATACATAGGACCATTCCGATTTTGCTGAGGGTGTAATTTGGGAACTGCAGAGCCAATTGATACACAAACACCTTCTATAACTTGATCTTTCCCCAGTAGTTCCGCTGCAACTTCAGGATCTTCGAATGATACGAAGGCAAATGAACGAAACGGCTTGGGAATGAATACATCGAGTACCTATCAGCAAATAAACAATGAACATGCAACTTACTTCACCAAATTGTGAAAAGTAATCTCTTAGCACAGTGGCTGTAATCGACTCAGTAATTCCACCCACATGTACCTTTCGGCTCACTTCTTGACGATCTCCTTCCAACTACGGATTTTGTAAGAACTTTATCCTTACCTTGGAGATGGGTATCCTGACGTCACACAAGCGTCCATCTATACTATGTCGTTCAGACAGACACATAATTTGCGATTCCATATCGCTATACCGAATGAAACCGTACCCTTTGCTCAAATTGGAATCGGGATGTCTCTTAACCTGAGCAAAATGATAAACACAACAACAAATACCTGAACTGTTACGAGGTCACCGTAACGTGAAAAATATTCCTTCAGTGTGGATTCATCAGTTTTCCAGGCCAAGTTTAAAACAATTAGGTCTGTGCACTTCTTCTCCTCCAGTTTTTTAAACTTCGAACTGTAGGTGTCTTTTTCTTCTATACCTTTTCGCTTATTATCTATATATCATTATAGAATACCTTACAAAGATAAAGGTACCTCTAGGGAATGCACACTGATAAACGTGCACCCATCCATCTGATGGAGCAAAGAGTTTTCCATCATTAAGCCTTACACCCCTCAGGCAACCTGACTCAGGGGCTAAGTATTTGAGCCCAGTTGATTTTGGAAACACGGACTGCAATGTGGCGAGAAGTACTGTGCCATCATCTTCAATTGGGACCTCAATAGGACTTTCATTGTCATCTTCGCAAACTCTAATAAATTTTACTCCTGCCATTATGATACTATAGCATTAATTTGCTGACAGGTTTCCGTCTGGGTCGGAGGTAAGTTATTTGTGAGAACCTAAAGGGAATAATAGAAGAAAAAAAGACGAACTATAACTTATGAATGAACCAGAAATAAAACACCAAGTCTTGGACTGTGACGCGAAATTCATTCATCCGACTGGCTAAATAGCGTTTTGGCATTGAAGCTGATGTCAGTTCGTGATGAAAACCATAAATGTAATTCCTAACCATCAACTGTAATTCAGAATTCTTATTCTTTACACAATTTTACAACCCTCATTTATCCCTGATGGATAAGGGGACAATCTCAGGGTCACTTCGGCAACACTCAAAGGTAGTTCACAAGTTATAGCCTCACCGAGAAGACTATGTACAACATAGAGGGGAAGTCAGTGGCCATAGTCTGGTCTCACAAAGATCTCTGTGACAGTGAGCCATGATTCTAAGATCTCAGCCCACTGCCGCGAGGTCGCAGCTACGGGGTTTGGAACCCTATGGGCTTTAAGGGAGACGTTTACCAAGTTAGTTACTGATAGGTTCACTACAGTATACACAACGTCCAAACTTGAAAACTGTGTTCAGGCTGCAAGTCTCTGTCTACAGGTTGACTCAGGTATCTTGGAAAAGTACAGAGGGCAGCTACCAGTACGATTCCACAAATCTGAGGTTTATCACACAAAGAGCGGCATGAAAAGCTAGACCTCTTTATTCTGTCCTATCGCATATTAACAGGTGATTTGACTTTGATACATATGATACTAAGCAATGGTTTTGGACCTGATATATTTTCTCCTTTTCTTCATACCAGATCAGGATAACTCAGAGGACATATCAGACAAATAGAAAAGCCAAGTATGAAAAAAGTACCCATGCCATACAGGTTTCCACAGTTGAGGAGATAGGCATAGCAAACTTATTTTGCAATGATTTTTTGTTATTATATGCATTTATTTTGTCAATATTTCACAATCTGTACATTTGTTACAAAATGATCGGCCACACAGTGAGTCATCAATCCTTAGAACCTGTTACACAAAGTGGTGTCTACCCCTTTAATTAACTCACTCAAGTAAATGTTAGACACTCCCAGAAGCTTACTAGAAAAAAGCTAACACAGGCCGTAGGATTTCTGTTCTTCCTATAGTAAGGATTTTTCAGATTGATTTGTGTATACACAAATCTGAAAAGTGAGTCGATAAATCGTTAGGCACGTAAATTACGTTTAAAACTAACAACATGAATAACCAACAACAATTACCAGCACTCAAACTTTGGCTGAAGGTAGTCTGTCAGATGAAACAAGAAACCGAAATCAATAATGTTGCGATTGCCTTACAACGCGAACAAAATGCAAGAGCGGCTGTCTACATTCAAAGCTCAATGGTTCAAATCAGTTTCAGTTTCAGTTTGGAAAGGACAGGAGGCTTGATGGCCTGTGTTAGTCTTGGCAATAATGGTCTCTCAGCTGATCCAACTTTCTTTTGAAGGAGTCGACGGATGGATCCTCAACCACGTGCTGAGGTAATGGTTCAAATGGATCAAATGGTTCAAGACGGAATGGAAGAAGCTTTCGCTTAACGGGCTTCCGTGTCTGGTAGCAGTGGATCACCAATACCTCCAGGCAAATACCTAGGTATATGAACGATAATAGAGGTAAAAAGAATTTTCACTCATGAATTCCACTCGTTGATTATTCGATGGGAAAGTCGGTAGTCAGCTGACAAGTAATTCGTTCTGGGCTTGTGAACTTTTTTGGAGTGTCCTCGTAGATTTTCTGTTTTGGGAGACAAGAAAAATGAGGGCATATCAGGTGCAAATTTGTCATTAAGCAATTTGAAAACTGTAATCAAGTCGCGTCTGATTCTTCTATATGACAGCGGGAATAGGTTTAGCTTGGTCAGTTTAGTACCATACGGAAGCTTCGCTATTACGGGAATCAGCCTAGTTGCTGTTCTCTGAACCTTTTCCAAGAGTTCACTGTCTTTTTTAGGCAGGGGCTAGCTGCTTGTGTGCAGTACTCAAGTTTAGGGCGTACGAACACTATCCTCATTGGTGAACCCGACGTGATCTGGTACACCAAGCCAATATACTGTGAGTCTGTTCCATTTTGGAATATTATTATTCATTGTTATTCTTTATTTGAATTTTATATATTGTGATATACTTCTTTTCGCGAATTTTTTCCCGGATATATTTTAATTAGACATTTTTCGTTATCTATATTACTATGACGGAACACTCTCCTAAGGTTCTTAAGTTTAAGTCTATTCCCCCTATTTCGATTCAGTTAACGCCATTTTGGCCCGACAATATCGAGTCCTGGTTCTGCTATGCAGAAGCCGATTTTTGCATGCACGGAATCATGGACTCGCGCACACGATTCCTCGCGGTAGTTAAGGCGTTACCGTGCGAGTTCAACAGGTACGTAACACCTAGTATGTTTACTAGTGATGTTCCCGAACATTACGAAACGCTTAAGCTATCGATTTTAAAACGAGGAGACCTAACTGATCGACAACGGTTAGACCAACTCCTTAACAATATCGAATTGCAACATGGTTCTGCGACGTATATGTTGCTTAGAATGAGAGAAGTCATCGGCCAACGAACTTTCGATGATGACCTATTTAGACAACTTTTCTTGCCTAAACTCCCTCAACAGGTGCAGGCAGTGCTTGTGTCATTTCAAAACAATGCCATAGATGAACTAGCTGCATCTGCCGATCGAATCTTGGAAATCACTAGATCTTCTAAGGCCGAGGTTTTTTCCATCAAAGAAAAACCCCAATCGACCTCGACTGACATGGCCGAACTATGTCACACGCTTACACGATATCTTAGAGTTCGCAATGACCGTAGTCGGTCAAAAACTCCGCGTAGAAGCGTTTCATGTAAGCGATCTGGCTCTCGACCACGAGAGACAGACAATCCCGACTGGTGCTGGTATCATAACCAGTACGGTAAGTTTTCCAGAAATTACAGGAAACCTTGCAATTATCCGACTTCAAAATCGACTGACACGAATAAGATTTCGGGAAACTTCCCAGCCGGCACGCGTTAACGGCAACCGTAGCCGGCGAACACAGCCGCCTCTTACATGTCACGGATGTGACTACGAAAGTTCGCTACCTCGTCGACACCGGCGCAGAAGTTAGCGTTCTTCCAGCAAATCCCGACGACAGACTTCGCGAGTCTGTTTTAAGTTTACAGGCGGCAAACGGAAAGCCGATCGCTACTTACGGTAAAAGGTATGTCTACCTTAACGTGGGTTTACGCAAACCCATACACTGGATTTTCGTGGTTGCAGATGTCTCTATGCCAATCATTGGTATAGACCTGTTACAACACCACAATCTACTCATCGACACACGCTCACGAAGGTTAATAGACGGAAACACTAAGTTATCCGTTTGCGTAACTCCTTGTTCTGGTTGCAGGTTATCCCCAGTCACGATTAAGCACGCCATAGACCCCTTGTACCAAGCAGTACTCGACAAATACCCCGGGATATACCAATCGCAATCGAAGTTGCCTTGTGTAACCAGCAATGTTACACACCACATCTCGACTACAGGACCACCTGTATTTTCGAAAGCTCAAAGACTCGCTCTCGAGAAGCTTAGGTTAGCTAAAAACGAATTCGACCACATGATGGACCTAGTGATAATTCGACCATCGAATAGTCCATGGGCATCCCCATTGCACATGGTCCCTAAAAAGGACAGCAATGATTGGCGGCCAACTGGTGATTATCGGCGTCTGAATGCTAAAACCATTCCCGATCGTTACCCGCTGCCTCATATTCACGATTTGACAGCTACCTTGAAAGGTACAACTGTCTTTTCGAAAATCGACTTGGTTAAAGCTTATAACCAAATCCCGATGGCACCTGACGACATTCCTAAAACCGCCATCATCACTCCCTTCGGTCTTTACGAATTTCTACGAATGCCTTCTGGTTTAAGAAACGCGGTTCAAACCTTCCAAAGGTTTATAGACGACGTCTTCCGAGGTCTCAACTTCGTACATGCATATGTTGATGACTGTCTAATATAAAGTCCGGACAGAGAATCGCATCTCAAGCATCTGGACATTGTTTTCCATCGACTCCAAAGGCATGGCATTACTGTCAACATACAGAAATGCCAAATCGGAACAAACTCCTTCCGAACGACCGCCTACCACCCACAAGCAAACGGGTTGGTAGAACGTTTTCATCGACAATTAAAAGCTTCATTATCAGCTTCCAACGTTTCACAGTGGACCGATGCACTTCCACTCGTCTTGCTAGGTATCCGCAATGCAGTGAAAGCTGACATTGGATACACGGCATCTCAACTCGTTTACGGAACGACACTTCGACTCCCAGGAGAATTCGTAGATCCTTCAGCTTCTTCATTGAACATGGATCTAAACTCTTACACGAGTAGGCTTACAAACGCTATGCGTTCAGCTAAACCTGCTCACACTCGACCTCAATCAACTGATGTTTTCGTTCAACCCGAATTACGACATAGTACACACGTCTTCGTTCGTCGAGACTCACATCGACGATCCCTCGAATCAGCATACGAAGGACCCTTCAAAGTTCTTCAACGCGAACCTAAGTACTATGTAGTCGATAAGAGCGATACGAACGATAGCATCAGTATCGATCGACTCAAAGCAGCGTACTTAGAATGAAACCCTAGCTACGTCGATTTTCCTTCGGTACAAGCAAACGACACAGCCACTATACTCGTAGTACCCTACACGACAACCAACACACAACTTGATACTTCGTCAACATCGATAGATAAACCTAAAACAACGCGTTCTGGAAGACGAGTAAGATTTCCAGAACATCTTAACGAATATTGCACGTAGGACATAAACTTTATCTTGAATTACCTTTTCATAGTTTATTATAAAAATGTTTTTAATATGCTCATTTTTTTATTTATATAAAAAAAACAAAAAAAACAACATTTCTTTTGGAGCGTATATATATATATTTCCCGATCGCTTTTAAGCTGTTTGTAAGGGTATTAGTTTATTTCTTTTTCCGCTCATCTTGTGTCCTTACGCAAGTACGAGTGTATTTTCGACATGCACTCACACCTTTTATTTTTCCTCTTTTCCAGGACGGCTGGAAAAGAACGACGAAGTTTCGCAAGGGACCGAAATTTTCATTGTACTATATTTCTTTATTGCTATGTTGTACATTTTGGTCCCATAGTTTAGGAAATACGACCAGACGCTGCTAAACGAAGCAAGCTATCAGAAGAGTGTTTACCAACGACAAACTCGTTCGGTTTAAACTTCTGGCTGGTCACGTCTTAGGGGCATCACTACCTCACTAGGGGGGGAGTGATCTGTAGCTGTAAATAATTCCCCAAAATCAATAGTTCATTAAGTGTTCGACATTGGATGCTGACCACGTTGTTTAAGTGGACTTGTTTTAGCTGAAGGCTTTCGGTCATGCATCCGCACCAGATCACGTTTCAACTCGGCGTGGGACACAGCTCCTACGTTTCATTAGCCAGCTCATAGAAAAGGTCCTCGATATATTGGTAACGAATCAAATATATCTTTCCTGCCTCTTCTCGTCTGACTTCTGATTTCTATCTGACTGGGAACGATCGAACATAGAAGGTGCAACTGGTAACTAGTTGTAAAATTAGAACATCCGTTGCATCATCACTATTATCATGGTTCATTTCGCTGAAACTAGTACTAACATTCGTGATCCTACTAAGTTGGATGTTTCTAATGATCATTTATCTTTATCCAAGACTTCAAAAAGCGTTATAACAACACATAACAGTCCAGAGTTGAATGGAACTCAGAATCATTGTGAGACAAAAGTTTCTAATCAACCAACTTATCAGACTTCTCGTGTTATTGTACCAGATATGGTTTGTCATAATAATTAGCATATTTCTGGTGAAATTACTCACAACTCTGAGAATGACATATTGAATGAGTGAACTTATGATCGAAAACAAAATTCGGCTTTGGTACATGCTGATTTTTCTAACGTTCCATTATTCTCTAATAAAACTCTTAATAACTTTGAGGGAAATAGTCTAAAGAAATCAAATTCTGATGTTATATCAAATGTTATTCGTCGTCACAACGGATTTATCTCTGGGAATATTCCTAATGAATGTGATAAATATGTTCCGGATGAGTCGAATTCTAGTCACATTTATGATGTTTTTGTATCAGATGTTAGATATTCTCCAAACCATTGTGTATCGAATAGAATCCCTGGTCAGTGGTATGGTGAATCAGAGGGAATAGCAAGTTTTCCCGAGGCAACCAGAGAACCAGTTTGCACAGGTAGAAAATCGAAATCAAGTTCAAGATTATCCTAGTTAGTACAAGGTAGATGCATGTTTTCCATCCGATTGTTTCTCAGGTGAATCAAGCCTAGATGAATCGTATGTTTTAATTACACATATCAATGCATATTTATCTGAGTATTCTAATGTGAATAACAAAAAGAATGTGCATCACAATTTTTTGCGAGTCAAAGCCACATGATGGCACGCCTCGCATTATGTGTCAGTGTGTAATCCCAAATATTAACATATAATAGTCGTAGCGTGAGATCTAAGAAGATAATGCGAATCGGGAACGTCGAATTGGTTATAAAATTACGACGTAAGGACCCAACGCTATATCGTGAGGTAGGATGGTGTTGGAATGTCTATGATGCGAATTCTAGATATCAACGGTTCCACTACACAACCGACATGATGATTGTATGCAATTCCAGGAATGAGGTGAGTCTGTTCCAGTTTCGGTTGTTAATTCTAATACTAATGAGTATATCCTGGATTATACAGAGACTACATCTATTACACAATTGGGCAGACACGTGATGAACATAAAGAGAAGAGGTACAGCTGATCGCAGAAATTTGGATTCTAATTTGAGCTGTGGCGGGCATGGTGTTTGAATGGATCAATCACTCTTTTTTGCTGATGACTGTTTGACGTTGAATTCCAAATACAGTACATTCGTCCATGCTCATCTGATACTTCCTGGTTTAATTGCGTTGTTTCTGGGATTATTAGTTTATTTTATAATTCAAATAGTCTTAAATATCTATTATTATTAATCACAATTTTACATCAATATTGACCATACTAGTTTTACTGTAAATCAAACTAATGAGGATGCTTGGTAAACCACCCGCACCAGCTTACATTCTGACATAGTTTGATTCTCTTCTCATGCAACAGATAGTCAGATTAGATTACTTACACTTAGACTAAGTGGTCGTTTTTATTACAGAATAGTCATTCTTCACTCTTAGCTTGTGGGTTTACCAGCTTTGAGATCTAAATTATAAGAGGAGTTAAGAATAGCAGGGCTGTTGAGCACTGAATACCCGGAAAATTCTCAGTGGTAAGCCTACGAGTGATTTGGTTTACCAAAGAATAAAATGTCAGTTTTAACGTTGTCGGAAATTTCTGCATATACTTTATATGTTGTAATACGTTTTTCTGCCTTTGAGTTTGTTCACATATCTACAGACTTAACCCTTATCACGTCGGCGTAGACAACCAATACTTTAATGATAAAGCCACCCTCCTCATCATGCATTCATGCATTCATGTTGCCTAACACTGAGAAAGATAATTTTGAGCTGTCAAGTGTTGATAAACCTATTTGCATAATCTTATGGTAGATTAAGGTGATTTAATACTAAATCAACTCACGCTTAAGAATAATTTATTGTCTTATATGGTTTTTCGACCTGAAACCTTAAGATTGAAGGATGTTCGCAAAAATTACAAAGAACTATCTTAAATAATTCACTTCTAGAGCTTTCTTTCCCTTAGTGAGATATTAGTCACTGAAATTCTTGAACACGATACATTTCTAGCGGCTTATGCTGATGCTTCACAAGCAACATAACACCACCTGAGTTTTCTATGTATAATATGGTTTAGAAGCCCTTTTTCTGACTGCAGCTAGATGTTATACATCTCAGCCACCCTCGTATGTAGTTATACGAGTTAGAAGATAATGAAATAAAATAATTCAAATACGAGAATGAAGTTTGAACATTTATATCTCGTAAACTCATTGGTCTGAACAGACAAACAGAGAAACGAAGTGTGGGAAGAAACAAGGAGAGAGAGGAGCGAAATAACACACAATGGAGAAGACGAATAAGCCAATTCAGTTAAGCCAGGCATTACTCAATGTTTGTGGTCAGACCAAAAATAAGCTCCAAACAGACAACAAATAGGATAAACAATTGGCACTCATACATTGATTTGAAAACGCTCAGGGTTAGTAAGCCAATAAGTGACAAAGTCAAGGTGTGACTTGAGAAGAATGAGCAGGTTGGTCTATTTAGAAACTGGAATAGCCTATGTGTGCAGCAGTACATTTGCGAGCGATTACCAATGAGTCGTATTATATGCATACATAAAATCGGAACTGAAGGTCAAAGGTTGAGTTATTATTTTTTGACAACAGTTTTATAACCAATGATGACAATCGTATGTATTATGAGGAATAACTAAATAATGCAAATAACGACAAAAAGTGAAAACGAAATAAGTCTGCGTTAATTATCCCCATAATAGTACATCTAGCTTTCCATACTTATCGCTATTGTCTTCACTTTTTGAGCTTCCATTCTATTATATGACAATTGTGTAGCAATTAATAGCAGAATTAAATTCGCCCTCTTGCAGAAATTTTAAAATGAATTTTTCCAACACCTTAAGTCCAGTTGGCCAAAAACGTTTTATTTGTTCATTCTGCATAATTTGTTTATTCTACATAACGACTAGAAATTGAAACCTGAAACGATAACAACAATCCAAAAGCTATCATATGTTAATGTGCTTTGCAGCTGTGTAGGATGTTCTTTCGTGATTTTTTGTTAACGATTAACACTATCTTGGTTTTGTCAATTTTTGCTCAACCGCGCATTCATGCTATACTTCACAAAAGTTCTGACATTCATTTTAATTGCTCAAGCTTATTCCACCAAACTGTTTACGAAAGCTATTTGCTTTCAGAAGGCGATGGACTTGTGTTAAGTTGCAATGTGTGTTCCGGATACTTTAAAGATAAAAAGACTTGGGAGCATGGCGATGCCAAATATGATCTGTTCATTCAGAGGCCGGAAACAACTAGTGGTCAAGGTCTTGGTACCAGTGATATTAATTTATCTGTAGCACCGTATCCTACCTCACTGGAACGTATTCGTCTAAGGTATGTACTTTTAATTTCATGCTTTTTACATCAGTCACAAATGTTGCAGTTATTTTCGTTTGCATTACTTGTTTTAGTTTGTAAGAAAATATGTAAATTGGTATTCCGTATAAACCTAGTGAAGATACCACCAGTATTGTAGTTTGACAACACTTTACCAGTAACACCTTCTATAATAGAATCATGTTCACCCAGTAAAATCAAAAGTCAGAAGCGAGGAGGTAGGAAGATGTATTTGATGGGTTATCAATATATCGAGATGTGGCTGATCTAACCTGGCTAATTATCGTAAGAGATGTTTCCCACGCCGTTCTGAAACGTGATCTGGTACAGATGCATGACCGAGTGCCTTCAGCTGAATGAGTCCACTAAAACTAATGTGGTCAGTATCCGATGTCGAACACTTACGAAGCTATTGATTTTGAAGGTTTATTTACAGCTACACTAGCGAATCAATCAAACTTCAAGGATGTCGTTAAAGAGCGTATATGATGTAACGCCTAGCCTTTGGTAAGTTTGTCTCACCGAGAGGTAAATTGTGTGCTGTTGGAGAGGATATAGAAGCATGTGTGAGAGAGTTTGTAACTGAGTGAAGTGAGAGGAAATGTGACACAGAGACTAGAGAACCACATAAAATGTGCATGCACTTAATGATGAAAGGAGTGAGCAACAAATAGAAATAGGTTAAATATTAAATTGAAGCAGTCTGCTAATCAAGACTATGAGTTGACCGAGCATGGTTTCAAATGAGTTACCAAGCTTTCCTTTGTAAGGAAGTACTGTCACAGTGCCCGTGAAACTTGACTGTTGTACAGGTTAGAGATAGCGTGTTCAGAGCTAAGGCGTCATTTATACTGGTACGGGTTCTGTGTAATCCTTACCAATCTAACTGTTAGCCGACCTCAATGAAAAAATGTAAAGTATTATAAAAATTAATATACAACTGGGAACTTGTGCTGAGATACCAGTTTTGTATAGCATTAACTTAGCCATTTGGAGCGTGGTCACAACACACAATGAGTAACTCAAAACTATCTCCCAAACATTCCTATTACCCACTTGTTTCATTGCTGGTTATGAAGCACCGGTTGTACTTGCATTCGGAAACAAAGTTAGGTGAAATAAAAGTACAGACAATAACTCCATTTATTGCTTTGCTGTGAGACTTGAACTTCTCACAATCTAGATATGTCTTTTATAAAATACAACAATTAAAGGTGGTGTAAACTTGAATCAATTAAAATTTTCCGATTCAATACCATTTTCAATGACTCGTTATTTACACTTACTCATAATGTGTGAAATAAACACAAATTATAAAGTAGCTTAGAATATTTGCATTAACATCAAACAGTATCACATGAAGTGCACATATACATTTTTGAAACCATCTTGCGGTGATCGGATCAATGAACCAAATAGACCGGCTTATCATTCCGCCTCAGAATAAAAATATACTAAATATGATCTTTCGCTTTATTTGTTAAGTTCCTTCTTTTGTTGCTTAAGGATGTTAAGATCTTACTTGATTCTCTGTGACACTGTTTTAGAAAACCTGTAGATATACGTTAACCTTAAAAGCTTGGAATGTATGACTGATTGTGATAATCAGTTTTTGAATTATGGTACAAACTAGGAATCTCAGAAATAACGCAACTTAACGTAGAAGTATTAGATGAACGCGAACGAACGTATTGTATTTGGAATTCAAAACCAATCAGTCATCAAGTACAAGGGAATAATTAGTTCATAAAAACACCATACTGATTTAATGAAGTTTTATTATTAGCTATCATTCCGGTTAAGGAACGATACACTATTTTTGAAACCTTATTGTTACATATAATTCCGCCAGGAGCCCCCAGTTACACTGTCGGTTCGAAGCCTGAATAAAGGAGGAGAGTTGGGCATGGGGTTGGCGACCCCATCCCATAGAAAACTAGCTCGCTAAAAATGCTAACGAGAAAAAAATTATTAAAACCATTTAAACTCTGTTCTGAGAGTTAGGTCTTCATGGTGAAAGTCGAGTTCTTTTGGAAGTCACGAGGCTGATGCCCCTTTTGACAACCAGAGCAACCAATTATTTAAACACATGAAATATCGGTACAACGTGAGATATCGGTAGAGTCTTCTAAAGTGCTGCAGAATTTAGGAGATACAACCTGGAGGTGTTTGGAATCATTACATTGGATTCAGATTGGACAAAAAAGACTAGCTTCTGAGGAGTTTGTGTCATACTCCGTCCATGAAGAAGAAAATGATTCACACACATAAGGCGTTGCACAGATGCTGTCCAAACAAGCAAAAAACACACTTATAAGATGGGAATCTCATGGACCAGGGGTCATCAAAGGCTCCTTCAAAACAAAGAGAAAGGGCATTACAATGAACGTCATCCAATGCTATGCACCCACCAACGATTACAGTGAGAACACTGAAGATCAATTCTATCATAGGCTGCAATCAATCGACAAGAAGTGCCCAACAAAGGACAAGAACATTCTTATGGGAGATTTAAATGTCATAGTTGGAATGGATAACACCAGATATGGAGACATCATGGAGCGACATGGAATGGGAGGAAGGAACGAAAATGGTGAGAGATTTGCAAACCTATGTGCCTTCAATAAACAAGTTATAGGCGGCACTATATTCCCACATAAATGCATTCACAAAACCACATGAACTTCATCGGATCACATTACACAAAACCAAATCGACCATATCTGCATCAACAAAACGTTCAGGAGGACAATGGAGGATTTGACAACCAGGAGAGGAGCTGATATAGCATCAAATCAACATTTAGTGGTTGCCAAGATGAAACTAAAGCTTAAGAAGCACTGGACAACGGTGTGGACAACATCACAAAAGTTTAATACGGCTCTTCTTCGGGATACTGACAAACTCAACAAATTCAAGGTAGCCCTCAGCAACAGGTTCCAGGCCTTTCATGATCTACTCAATGGAGAGGAAATCACTATGGAGAGCAACTGGATAGGGATAAAATAGGCAATCACTTCAATAGGTTAGGAGGTTCTGGGTCACAAAAATCACTACCGCAAGGAATGGATCATTGTTGATACACTGGATATGATTGAGGAAAGAAGGAACAAGAAGGCAGCAATCAATATCAGCCGAATAAAGGCACAAAAAGCCAAGGCACAAGTTTAATACACAGAAGTAAACAAGCAAATGAAAGGGAGCATCAAAGCTGACGAACGTAAATATGTGGAAGGCCTAGTATTGATGGCAGAAAAGGATGCGAGAGAAGGAAATATGAGACAACTATGTGATACAACAAAAATACTCGCTGGAAACTACTGTAAACCAGAAAGACCTATGAAAAGCAAGGAAGGCAGGGTAATAACCAACATTGAAGAACAACGAAACAGGTGGGTAGAACAATTCAAAGAACTCTTGGATCGAGCAGCTCCACTGAACTCACCCAACATCGAAGTATCACCCACAGACCTCCCAATCGATGTTGGCTCACAAACTATTGAAGATATCAGAATGGCTATCAGAAAAATCAAGAGCGGCAAAGCAGCAAGACCAGAAAACATTCCAGCAGTGGCATTGAAAGCAGATGTAGCAGCAACTGCCAAGATACTCCACACTCTCTTCAGTAAGATTTGGGATGAAGAACAGGTACCAACAGACTGGAAAGAAGGACTTCTGATCAAAATTACCAAAAAAGGAGATTTCAGCAAGTGTGATAACTACGGAGGCATCACTCTTCTCACAACATCAGGAAGTCTTCAAAAGGATGTTCTTAAACAGAATGTAGGACTCCGTAGACGCCCAACTTCGAGACCAACAGGCTTGATTCCGTAAAGATCGATCGTGTACAGACCAAATCGCAACTCTACGTATCATTGTGGAACAATCAATTGGATGGAATTCATCACTCTACATCAACTTCATTGACTATGAGAAAGCATTTGATAGTGTGGACAGGACCACACTAAGGAGGCTTCTTCGACACTACGGAGTACCTGAGAAGATAGTCAATAACATATGGAATCCCTGTGATGAATTAAACTGCCAAATCGTCCATGAAGGACAACTCATTGACTCACTCGAAATAAAGACCAGTGTTAGGCAAGGTTGCTTACTATCACCCTTTCTCTTTCTCCTTGTGATCGACTGGATCATGAAGACGTCAAGATCTGGAGGAAAGCACAGGATACAGTGGACAGGTAGGATGTAGCTTGACGATTTAGATTTCGCAAATGATCTGGCTCTTCTACCACACACACAACAACAAATACAGGAGAAGATAACCAGTGTAGCGGCAGCCGTCTCAGCAGCAGTAGGTCTCAATATACAAAAAGGAAAAACAGGACTCTCCGTTACAATACGACATGCACCAATCGAATCACACTTGATGGAGAAGCTTTAGAGAATGTGGTAACCTTTTCATATCTGGGGAGCATCATTGATGAACACGGTGGATCAGATGCAGACGTGAAGGCGCGGATCGGCAAAGCAAGAGCAGCGTATTTACTACTGAAAAACATCTGAAACTCAAAACAACTGTCTGTCAACCAACACAAAGATCACAATTTTCAATACCAATGTCAAGACAGTTCTATTGCATGGGGCGGAAACTTGGAGAACTATGAAAGCCATTATCCAGAAGATATAAGTGTTTATTAACAGTTGTCTACACATGATACTTCGGATCCGATGGCCAGACAATATCAGCAACAACCTACTGTGGTAGAGAACAAACCAGATTGCAATGGAGGAAGAAATCAGGAAGGAACGCTAGAAGTGGATAGGACACACACTGAGGAAATCACCCAACTGGGTCACAAGTCAAGCACTCACATGGAATCCTGAAGGCCGAAGGAGAAGAGGAAGACCAAAGAACACATCGCGTCGAGAAATGGAGACAGACATGAGAAGAATGAACACGAATTGGATAGAACTAGAAAGGAAGGCTGTGGACAGGGCGAGGACAGAGTGGGTTGTAGAATGCTGGTCGGTGGACCTTACTCCACTGGAAGTGGCAGTCGTAAGTAAGTATTGCCATATATATATATATATATATATATATATATATATATATATATATATATATATATATATATATATATATGCTCGAACTTCAAGTTTTATTGTTAAAGAACCTAACGAGGTCTCATGATTACGTTTTGAAATAACAATAAGATGGATGAAGGTAGGATAGCAATCCAAAGAGTGTCTACATTTCACAATTGATTGATCACTGGGTGGTGATCAATCTCATGCGTGTCAGGTCCTTAGTGCTGATCGAATGCTATCGATCAAGTTGCAATGTGGCCACCAGTCTAGGTGGCTCGACACTGCGGACACTATATATATTAGGGTAACATGGTGGTTGGAGGTGGTCAACAGGAAACCCTGGACCCGGGTTTCGTGATACTTGGCACTCGTCAGCAAGGTGTACCTGTAATCTTGAGGGAACTGACGCTCCCTGACGGATTCGATCCCGCGTCACTCAGCTTCACAGTCAGAGACGTTACCACTGAGCTAGTCGGGCCGCAACCGACCTCCTGTAGAACTGAGATCTAATCACAATTGATTGATCACTGGGTGGTGATCAATCTCATGCGTGTCAGGTCCAGGGTTTCTTGTTGACCACCTCCAACCACCATGTTACCCTAATATATATAGTGCCCGCAGTGTCGAGCCACCTAGACTGGTGGCCACATTGCAACTTGATCGATAGCATTCGATCAGCACTAAGGACCTGACACGCATGAGATTGATCACCACCCAGTGATCAATCAATTGTGATTAGATCTCAGTTCTACAGGAGGTCGGTCGCGGCCCGAATAGCTCAGTGGTAATGTCTCTGACTGTGAAGCTGAGTGACGCGGGATCGAATCCGTCAGGGAGCGTCAGTTCCCTCAAGATTACAGGTACACCTTGCTGGCGAGTGCCAAGTATCACGAAACCCGGGTCCAGGGTTTCCTGTTGACCACCTCCAACCACCATGTTACCCTAGTGTCTACATTTTTCCATCCATGAAACTGACTGAGATAATTTTTTGCTTCCTGTGATAATATACCTCAGAATATTTATAAAGTAGATGGCTAAATCACAATGGTAATGTGCGATTTGGAAAAAAAGTTTGATCCAAACTTAACCGTGGTAAAATATCTTGCAGTAAAGGCATATGAGTCAGTGTAAATACCAGTGTTTTGTTAACATTCATATGTATTTGTGTATCATTTGTTTCTAGCAATAAATTCAAGTTACGGTACTAGAAGCTGATCAAGATCGTATCGTCAATATTTGAGCATAATTTTATGTTTTGTGAGCCTTAGCAACGATGTGATGCATCTATAGCTTTCTGCTACTGTTGTGTGCCTTTCCGTATATCAATGAATGAACAAGTTACTACAAAACAACAAGAATGCAGCACACACAACTACGAACTATTTGTGACATTTTTACATTGATAAATTCATCTTTAAATTTCATATTTCATAAACAAACTACTTTGTGAGGCAAAGTGGCATACTGGTGTCATGCTGATTAACAATACATAAGTTTTAAACATCCTAAAACTTCATTTTATCATTGTTAGAAAGGTACTGTGTGTTGTAACTAATAGAAACTAATAATTTCACAACCTGGTTCAAACCTATCTAGGGTTGCACTACATTCATATTTCATATAATCTTTATATGTTCAAAATGATATAGATGACCGTCATAAAATTGCTTATTTTGCCAGGTTGCGTAAACGAATTTGGCAAAACATCTCTTCGCTTTCGAGTGCTCTCCCTCTGTTTTATGATGTTGGTCACTTGAAGGCAGAAGTTGCTCCAGAAGCTGACTTAAAAGCACGAAATTTGTCATCACTATATTTTACGGTTACTAAACCTGGTCAACCAACATTTGTGATAAAAACAAGTACAACAAGTACTCGTCTTAGTGAGAATATTCTCCGCATAAAATGTGCAAACACTGAGCACACAGGAATATACAGATGTATTTTTAAAGGAGAAGTAATTAGAGCATGGTCTGTAACAGTTTTAAAACCTGGAGACGAACCATTCCGAAATTTGTTTTCACAGCTGAAAATTATTCAAAGAAAACCAGAACTAATTTCAGGAAATACAACCAGTGATGATGATAACTTAAAATCCTTAGCTGCACAATATTTGATCAACAATAACTTGAAACTATATACACACTGGAATTCATGGTCAGATTGTGTGCCATGCACCCCAAAAGAAGACTTTTCATTTACTCGAGAGATAGTAAAAAGTGGCATGCAAATAAGAATAGGTATTTGTCATGTCACACCCATTGATATATTCTACTCAATCAGACCTCACATGTTGGCTGTTGAAACTGAAGAAGTTTTAAAATTGTTCAGTGGACCTGGTTTGCCTTGCCGTTCTCACTTAATTAGGAATTCGATGTTAAAATACGGACCAAAAGAAATTAAATTGAGACCGAGTGAACTAATGATAAGATCATGTATAAACGAATGTCCAAGTTTTAGGTAAGTGCTCTTCAAATTTAAATAAGACTTGAAATATGTGACTGTTTTCATACAGAGTTGGTTATGTATTTTACAAAAGTTTATTTAAAGTCTCAAGTATAATCTGCAAGGTTTCTAAAGTTAAACTGAAGTGTTAAGCAAAATTAAATCCCACATTTGCACAGTACTCAGTTAAAAAGTTGCAACAATTTTTAAAACACAACTTGAGAGGTATTTATAAAATAGGTTTGATACACAAATGTTAAATGGTTCAGAAACAAAACAGAAGTATTTATAATATTGGTATAACTAAGAATACGATCAATATTATAACAACCTTAATTCGCGATTGCATGAAGACTAAGTTGAAAATGAAATCTTTAACGAAACTAGTAAAACATCTAGAATTCAAATTCGAACCTAAATATGAACAGTAAGGCTAATAGCGCGACCATTAATATAATAAGATTGGGATCAAAATTAAATAGGACAAGAAATATCCAAACAAACATTGTAGAATGAGGAAAGAATAGTGACAAAATGGCGGAGGAAGGTTAGTAGCTTAAGTGGATAATTTTGATGAAGTTACGTCCCCTAAGTTGAATGATTAATTTGTGAAACTTTTCTTATTCCTTTTGAATAAAATCATGATGATCTTGGACAAAAAGACAATGAGCACTTTTCAATTAAACCATTCAGATCAAGAAATAGGACTCCGTTAAAAGTACTTGTGAATGGTATGAGGAATATGAAATTTAAAAATCAAATATTAAAATTATGCTTGTAAAATCCACGATAATTTATGTTAAAATAACTCGAAAGTTTTGCTCGACATTCTGATGAGTTCAAATTTTTACAAATATAATTTTCCACTTAATGTCCTACACTTATCATTCTTTTAAGTTTAAACAAATGCTATTAAGAAGGCAACTACTTTCGTCTGTGAAACTCGAACTATGGGCGGTGTATTGCAAATATCTCTGAGCAATACTACAGTACATCAGTATCCTGTCTTTTAATACCATTAGCGTCTAAGTTGAGACCCTATGGATGATGGTATTTCTGTAAGCAAGATTATAACCATATACTTTGTAAAGTCTAGGTAGTACTAGTTAAATCATCAAAATATAGAGAATGATTCCAGTTTATATTCCCGAAAATAAACTGAATGCATTTGGAATTTAAAATTTTGTTATAAATACATGATCCAAGTGTTTTTCATATTTTATCGGGACTTGTTCCCATATTTAAAATGTATATGTATATTTTTTCGGTAAGCTTACAAGCAAGCGACTTATTGATTGGATAAATGTAATCAGGTATCTACTAAAGAGCTTATAATCGGAGTAAGGGAATAAAATTTCATTATTTGTTTTTACATCGTAATCACTTTTCGATGTATGGATAGAGTCGCTCGTAATACTGGACGGTTAAATGTGACCAACTGATATGTGTTGTCGATTGAACGCTACTTGTTATATCTGGTTGCCGCTGAATATTATGTCAGAATCGCTTATCATTCATACTTATAAAGTGAAGAACCCCTGCAGTCGCCATAACGCGAAAGCAAGAATACAAGACTAGTATAAGTGAAGATTTATTAATCCTAAAACACAACGATGATGAAGACATCCCTAGTCGAAAATACACTCATTTATATATTGATTCGTACACCTCTTTTAATTAATGATTAGAATAAAATCACATGTATGAAAAATAATCACAGTTATTTTCATAGTTGAAACCGTGAGTCAATTGAAGCTAGACCACCGGGGAAAACCTGGACTGACTTCGAGAGGTAAATCCTGGAGTTCTAGTGAGAAGCGGTGACCAGTGGAGTTCAAAACCACGTCTGTTGTGAGATATCAATTCACTGAAGACTATTAGTGAATGGTTGCTCAATTTTGTGGACTGGTTGAAGTTAGAAATAAACACCATGGGATGCCGGCTCAGTGGTCTGTCGATTAAGTGCTCTGGCGAGATACTGGTAGGTCCTGGGTTCGAATCTCGCGAGTGCGGGATCGTGTATGCGCACTGCTGATGAGTCCCACAATAGGACGAAACGGTCGTCCAGTGCTTCCAGGTTTTCGATGGTGGTCTAGCTTCAACAGACTCACGCCTTCAACTATGAAAATACTAAATCTCCACAAAACCCCTTCTGATAATAATAATCACAGTTATAACAAATCACATGCTGAGTATAGTTCATGCTAACTCAATACAAGAATAACGTACGTTACACAGAATCAAATATCATACTGGTAAACAGAAACAAAATACTACTACTATATCACACTGAATTAAAAACCAAAGTGATATTGAACAAAAATCATAATCTAATTTCGACTTTTCATTCCGTCATATCACTAACCAAAACGGATGTTTTGGAAATTTAGAATTTTCTAATTACCTTAAATCCACGTTTTGCAAATTCTCAGTTCGAATGAATGAAAACCTGCTTATCCCGATGAAACATTCACATTACGGTTGTACACACCATAATTGGAATATTATTATTATTATTAGTTAGGAAAGCGGTAGAACGTTTTTAGCTATGATACCTTACCCATACCCAAATCCTATTCATTATTTTCTTTTGTCGGGTTACACATAATATTCAATAGACTTTGATAAAGACATTCTTCTTGTTGATTTAGTTTACGGAGTGAAGTATGTTCTCATCGATTCTGTTCGCTACACACTAACTAGCTTCATGGTATGCTTCATTTATTAGGTACTACTATGAAATATTTGCTTTAAGTTTTCTAGTAGACATTCAACTAAAACCTAGTATAGGGTGAATGATTTTGTCACAATTTAGAACGATTCAATGATCAATTCATATCATTTACAATGTCTACTTTACACAGTAAAAATTATGTTATTCTATGCATATATTTTGGCTTATTTTAGCAATATTACTACGTCGTTAAAATCATCTTCCAATAAACTGTCACGTTTTCCTAAACGAATCACAATACAAGTAAATGAAGGTGAACCCCTCATAATCACATGTCCAATAAGGGGTTTCATAGAAAAGCCAATAATCTGGTTATATGCACCAGATAATTTTGATGAGCTAATGAAATTAATTAAAACTGCATATAATTACACTACTATCATTCAACATAAAACACCATCACGATATCTAATTACTACATTAAAACAAGTCAATTTTACAACATTAATACATGAAACACGTGGACGATATAGAATTGATCCAGCTTATAATATTATTGTAGCTGAAACCATATCAGTAAAGAAGACAAAGCATAAAGAATTACATAATTTAATATGCATACATGGTGATCCGTACTCGATTCCCAATGGTTCAGATATTTATCCTGATTGGTCAGGTATAATTTATATAGATGTTTTACCACAAAATTATTTAGCAAGGATTTTATCAAAGCTAACACCAGTTATTCAAATTATAATGCCGTTTATTTTAGCATTAGGCATATTTTTTATGATTATACTCACTTTGTACACTGAAAGGCAACCAAAAATGCGTTTAGCTGCCAAAGGTTTGGTAATTAAATAATAATTATAAAGTAATATAACACTGAAGTTTATACGTATCTACTAAGTTGGAAAAGGAACATTAAGAGAATATGCTAAACTGACAAAAATGTTTATGTTTTAATCTATTAAATAATGTATTCAATTCGTTCACATTGTCACATATCTGCTTTATTACTACTAATACCTGTAATGCATGTACTACTCTCACATCTATCTGTGCTGATGTGATGTGGCAACTTAAATTGATGTACAAAAGTGCTAAATTCTAGGTTACATCTGACTATCTGACAAATTGTAAGACGTTTATACTATAAACAGATTAAATATTAATGATAAACGACAAGACAGAGGGTATATTTACTTAAAACCAGAAGATCCCTTGTTTTTCTTCGTTTAGAACATACAAAAGAATATAAAGCCGATTAACAGAGTCAAATTAAGATTTCTCCAACTCGTTATTTGATTTTTATTAGTTTTCCTTCTTGACTACATTAGGAAATATCTCTGACTTTTCGTGTTTTACATTAAACATAAGTGCCCATGTTTATATGAAACAATGAGAAGATGTCTGATAGCTTATAGACAACTGGATTCAGGATAATCTAACAACAATGATACAATGCCTCCAATATAATATAACCCAATATTTTGTATAGACCGACACGATCGTAAGTAAAGATGAAAATCGTAGTCGGCTTAGGTGTGAAATCTGCAAACTGTGTCGATTTCTGATCACATACTTTAACCTAGTTTATTTCAAGGTCAACATCAGTTGTCGAACAGGTGCTGAACCACTGATCTCTGGAAATCGTTCATCCCCCACAAGAATGTCAGTTAAACTGAGAATATTTTAAAGAACTTTATTTTACAAAGACAAACATAATATTTTAGCTTTCAGTAAATATAAACACAAATGTTCATAATAACACAAAAGGAATGAAATGTTGCAACAACATACTAAATATGCTATTACGAAAGTTATTCTTGTTACAACCACAGAACACAATCCACTTCATTGCATAAATCACAGTAATCTATGATAAGTGCCAGTGATTGCATTTAGTCAAACCATAGAGTACAAATATCATTTAACTGTTTGGGAGTCGGAAAAATTGGCTTTTCTAGCAAAGAAACTTTAAAACTGGGTTTCAATAGTGATAGAAATCGTAATTTTATCTTCATGAGTATAAATATTTCTGGAGGATAAGGACATCATTCTATTTCGATGATTACAAGTTTCACTAGTCTGATTATTTGCAACGAATTCCTAAACATTTCTTAGTCCCCGAGTTTATCATCTCTTAGAACGTGAACGAGAAAGAGAAGGCGAGAGGTATTGAAGAATTTTACTTCGAAGGTCAGTGTGTGTATCAGAATCAAGGGTATTTATTTGTAACCAAGAGCTTCCAGATCCTACAGTTAGACGTGCTGAAATTTATGGTAAATTCGATAGCCATCCATCCAGGATAGTAAGAATATAGTTTTTTTGTTATAGAACCCTCGTGTAAGATTCTGAGTAGCACTGGTTGCCCGAGGTATTTTCAGCGTCTTCTTGGTTGTTAAAAACTTTTACCAAGGACTCCAAACACATCTACAGCTTTGTAGAGAAACATGGTTTTCGATCAACCAGTTTTCCCGAACGTTACTAAGACTCGCACATGGCGAAAACCAAGTACATTATAAGGCTGAATTTAAGCATATGTAACTGCTACCCAACAATATATGATTTAAAGAAATTTATAATATTTCCAATGTTTATCAACTTAACACAAATTAAAACACTACAGAAAATAGAAAACACAGAACTTGTGTTTCAAAAGATATCAATTTCCACGAGTGATCACTAGTTAGTTTGAGTAGTTTATGAACACTACATCGGCTTTAGAAAAATTTTTGTTATAGACCGATTATTTTATAAATCTATTAACAACTGGGAAGCACTAGTTTGGTACCAATATTCCAGGTAATCCAACGGTTCATTACCTGATGTTAGTTTAAAATAAATCTTCAGTCTGGCCATTACATCAGTCGAATATTCTGAAACAATAACCAAACTAATGAGGTTTGAAGAAGAAACTAATCACATATACTCTTAAAGATGTTGATTTTATCAAGAAGTATAAAGGCTAAAACTCTTAGGGTTTTAGAACGAATTATCGAAGACTCTAGTCTTCAATGTGAAGACTAGATATCCTCATGTTGACCAACATACTATGACTAAATAAAGTAAACAGATTCTCCACATAACATACCGGTTGAATGCGAAAAACCGGAAGAAAATCTATTTCCTCATTTTGTTTTCTATTCTCGTTCATTTTCAGTACGTATTATCTTCAAATGTTTCCGATGAAATGATAAGAAATAAATTTATACGTAGTGTGGAAATAAAAAATGTAATAGCTCTTATTTACAATATCCACATTTTGATAGAAAAAAGCTTTCACAATTATCATAATATGAGAAAAATGATATGTAGTTGTCAACTGTACATGTATAATAAGTAATCAATTAATAAGCTAAAATTCTGCATCTTCATAATACTTTTGTATATCTCTCATTGCTTCAAGCGCAGTTGCATGTTTATTTTCAGTCTCTGTATCCATTGACAAACCAAATACACATACTATAAAAGAAATAGAAAAAACCTGATTGAAATCAAATCTCGTATGTCTAGTAAATTTCTTTCTATATCAAACAAATTACTTGTTGGGGGCGGCTAAAACTAAACAGATTCTTGTACTACTCATTCTCAGCTTTACTTGATAGCTTACATACACGTATAATAGTGAATGAATCGGCTGAACAAAATTCTTATTTGTACTTATAAACAGGCCAATCGAATTACACTTGACGAAGAAGCTTTGGAAAATGGGGAAACCTTTACATATCTGGGCAGCATCATTGATGAACACAGTGGATTAGATGCAGATGTGAAGGCGAGGATCGGCAAAGCAAGAGCAGCAGCACTAATGAAAAACATCTGAAACTCAAAACAACTGTGTGTCAACCAACACCAACCAACCAATTTTCAGTACAAATGTCAAAACAGTTCTACTGTATGGGGTAGAAATTGAAGAACTACGAAAACCGTCATCCAGAAGATACAAGAGTTTAGTAACAGTTGTCTACACAAGATACTTCGGATCCGTTGGTCAGACAATATCAGCAACAACCTACTGTGGTAGAGAACAAACCAGATTGCAATGGAGGAAGAAATCAGGAAGGAACGCTAGAAGTGGATAGGACACACACTGAGGAAGTCACCCAAAAAACATCACAAGTCAAGCACTCACATGGAATCCTGAAGGCCGAAGGAGAAGAGGAAGACCAAAGAACACATCGCGTCGAGAAATGGAGACAGACATGAGAAGAATGAACACGAATTGGATAGAACTAGAAAGGAAGGCTGTGGACAGGGCGAGGACAGATTGGGTTGTAGAATGTTGGTCGGTGGCCTATGCTTCATTGGGAGTAACAGGCGAAAGTAAGTAAGTAAGTAAAGCGTATAAACATCCCGAAAATAGTGAAACTTAAAGGATAAAAGGCTTTCAACAGTAGAATCGTCTATCATTTCCTCGGTAATGGCTACGGTTTCTATATTTCAAATATTTCCAAAATAAGTAATACCTAAACAAGTTCAAATAATTCCACTCTATTGAAAATTATCTTTATTAAAAGATTTAAATTCAATTTATAAGTTTAAAAACAGACTGCTTTTAATCTTGTTCAGCTATAATTTACCTCGGTTTTAAAAATCAGTTAGTAAGTGATTTCTGTCGGTTTAAAAGCAGACAATGGCGCTAGGTCATTTCACATTTATTATGTCGGATTTCCCATTTCATGTACATAAAGTGGCAATTTAACTATCACCAAGTATTGCAGTTGTCTTGCTGAGGTGTATACTACCGTCATGTCTCACAAGAAGGGTCAGTAATTTAATGAACCAACGGTAAATCCTGACCTTACCTAACGTTTCCCAATTACTTATATGTAAGCAAACGTAAGCAATGTCTATGCATGTGTTACACACTTTCCACTCATCACTGCCAATAAGCATTTATAGTCCGATTGGCCGATCAACCATCTCTATACTTAATTATCTACATTATCTTTTTATTGCTCTGTTATAGTTTTCATTACACATTAACAGAACGTCGAAAACGCCTATATATTTGAACTAAATTACCAACTAGTAATGAAAATCGTGCAATAAAATGGTCTCTCGTATACTATCAACTAGATTTCGTCGGCAACATTAACAATGAGCTATATTATTTGATCAAATAACAATTATTATTTATTTTCTAGTAATATACGTATTGACAAAAGTTTTAAGATAAATAAGCAAACCAGTATGTACCCGAAATCTAATCCGTTTTAAGAATACTTTTAGTCAGTAAACACTTCTCAGTTCAACTAAATTTCTAAGATATTGATTGCGAATGAAGAAGCTGACATCGATACAATCCTCAGAAAGCCAATATAGGCGTAATTTTTATCTACATAAATGATACTATAACGGTAGTTAGACATCAACATTTTCTAGGTGTTGTGACAAAGTTCATATAACAAAAACTGTTATGAATTCACTTAGTATTGTTTGTTTGGATCTTCCCATCGATGTGTTTAGGACTGCAACTGGTCAGTCTCTAATTGGCATATGTGCATACTGTGCGTATTGCCTCGATATACCTTAATTCACAAGCATGGTAAGCAGAGATGGATAGTGGCTAGCAGTGGAATCCAGGACGCGCGTTTCGTCCTATTCGGGGCTCGTCAGCTGGATGTACCTGCATCTCAGAGTTGATGTTCACTCTGGGACTCGAACCCAGTACCCTCGCTTCAAACGCCATCGCGTTATCCACTGTTATGTTCAGTAAAAGAAATGAGAAATTATTGTATATTATCAACTTACATGTTTTAGTTAATTCAACAAATAAACTTTTTTTACCAGATTTAGCTGATAACATTTCATTATTTGCATCAACAACCACAAAACGATCATTTAAAAAATCAATATTTGGTTTTTGTGTACCAATTTTTGCCATAACCAAACGTATAGCACGAACTTGATTTGTACTTAAATTAGTAATACTCTAATATATAAAAAATAAAAAAACGATATCAACTAAAGTAAACAGGTATTACTTTTACTTAGTATTGTTTGTTTGTATCTTCCTATTGATGTTTAGGACTGCGACTAGTCAGTCTCTTATTGGCCATATGTGCATACTGTGCGTATTGCCTCGATATAGATTTATTTCACAAGCATTATAAACAAAGATGGATAGTGGTTAGCAGTGGAATCCAGGATGCGCGTTTCGTCATATTTGGGACCCATCAGCTGAATGTGCCTGTATCTGAGTTGATGTTCACTCTGGGACTTGAACCCAGTATCATTCGCTTCAAATGCCATCGCGTTATCCACTCATCTACTGAGTCTTGATAGCCAGTTGCTTGTGCATCAACTCTGATATGCAAGTACATCCAGCTGACGAGTCCCAAATGGGACGAAACGCGCGTCTTGGATCCCACTGCTAGACACTATCCATCTTTGCTTATAAATACATTATTCCTATTTAATGTCTTACATCAACTCGGCGCCTAAATACTGTGAAACTATTCACTCTAATTTAGACGAAAGTTCTTATATAAACTATGGCTAAAGCACAAATATTATATAAATTTTCTTTTACTCTATTTCTTATGTATGACGCATAGCAGTTAACTTGGAAAGCTAATTAATCTTATATTAATTCGACAAATAAAGTAATACTTTGTCTAGAATTATATAGAGGAAGTGATTGTAAAACGGTAACCAGTTGTATGCCCTAGTTTTTAGTATCCATCAACGTTACATAAATGACTTGATAATGCATTAAATTGTAATCGTTTCTCAAACTCTGTCTATACAGATCTTTCTGTGTACTTTAAGGAAATAACAAGCGGCATTAATTGTTCACCACTTAAAACCAAGTAGAAAATAGAATAATCACTTTGGATCCAAGCTTAAGTGTTTGAATTCAATCATTATTTAAACAGAAGCCTACTAATAGACTAAACTACATCATTCTATAGATTACTAACAGACAAATTAGATCATCTGTTAATCCAAAAGTCAACATTTGGCTAACAGACGTCAGAATAGCAATATACGGAACAAATTTATATAAGTTAGCTTTTTTATGGGGATTTTGTACATCCAGAAAACCGTTTCGTCTTTGCGAAGTGAAATCATTTAAGAAACTGATGAAGATCAGCCGGTGATAAACGTTTATTATTCACCTTTCTTTGTGGTTTCTCAAAAAGCTACACTTATTACTCCACATGCAACCAAGTCCAAGGCCTTTATGTTATGTCACTGACTCCGTACTATTGATTTACGAAACTGCGATCCAGTGAATCATACATTAGATTTCAATAAATTTGAAAAGAGCACACTTATTCAATATTTGTCTAACCTGTCTGTGTATAACTTATGAAACGAGGTGGATTCAATATGATAAGGCAAAACACCCGGCTCAATAATGAAATTTGAAGATAATTATTGACAGATAATTCCACATTATTGTTCATAGGTAAATCGTATACTTGGTTGTTTCAACAATCTTCTTACGTACAGGTTTTCGAAATCAATTATTCAAGCAAGATCAGGGAGATTTTAGATAATGAATACATATTTTCCACTGAAGACCCTTGCTATATATAAAGCCTCGTGTTATATATCTGAGTATCCATTAGTCGCCATCTTTATTTGCGTATTCACTTAAGACCAATATTCGTGATACTTACTTTAGATCGGTTGGATCTGTACACGAAAACAGATAGCTTACAACAAGGATATGGATAAATACTCTTCTTTATTTTATAAGAAATATACAAGAGAAAATGATTTTGAAATTGACACAGTAACATCCACTTATTAATGATGACAACTCAGAAAACTGAATTCTACGGTAGTGCCCAGATAAACGGCCGTGAAGCACATGAAATTGAGGTTCAAATCAACTATTTATATGAAAAAATGTCCTGTTATTACAAACCGTGTGTAAATTAGATAATAACCCGAAATCTGAAGGCGTCTGTGTTGACTAACGCGTATGCATGTATGGAAAGAAAAAGTCTTTGATAAACTAAGTAAGAGACAGTAGATGTGTCTAAAGTCAATAATAGCTATCAACAGTCAGAGACGAAGGACAAAAAAAATGCTAAAACTGTCGCGTTTAATTAAAAAATTCAAGAAATTCACAAAAACCTGAGGCGAACGTTAAAAGCGTCAAGTCAGTGTAAATACAACATCAAATAAAGTAAATGTTATCTGCTTTGAATACTTTGGAATATCACACAAACGCATGTTATACCATACTTTTAAAAATTATGATAAATAAACTGGTTACTGAATATTTAATAGTAGTATAAAATATTTGACAACAAATGATTTGGGCGAGAAGAGAGTGAAGATAGAGCATGCAAACGAACTTTACATGCAGTTTCTTTTATTCAAATTATATTTATTAGCAAAATACCTACCTCCAATTATAACTAAGAAACGGTGAATTTAATAAGAAGAAACAATAAAACACAACCTAACGCCATAATATCATGTTTTTAGCCAAATAATTCATTTTAATAAATCATATTACAATTACTGATGATAACGTATTCATTAAGATCAATCGAACTAACCGCAAATTCTGGAATTTTAAATGCGCTTCCTAGCACACGACTTCCATGATCGCAAACGCAAAGAGCATCTAGTTTTGAATAAACTTCAAGTAGTGCTCGACACTGTTCACTCCAAGCACTATATGGTACATGCACGGTCATATCTTTTATTTCCTGAAAATAAAAAAATAAACAATAAAATAATAAAAATATATCATAATGAACGATATCAATATTTTTTTGGTTTTTAAGCAGTACATTTTGATCGATATAGGAATAAACGTTTATTTAAGTGACTTTTTCGACTAGTTGGTTCCCACAATTCGGTCGACTAGTTCCGTGTGTCGATAGACAGATTTCATTTCCTGTACTTGTGCTAAGCCTTTAAAAAGTTTAGTTCATATCAATTCCAAAGGGTTCTATTTTACGTAGATAGTTCACATAGTCGATGGAATTAAAATTAATCTGTTTTTATGGATCATCAAATGAAATTACTTTTAAAAACTTTGATCAGTTTAATCTTAATATTTGTATGACGCATAAAATTGAACCAGTAACAAGAAAGACGGAGATTTACATGATGTTAGGAAGAAGACAGAAAGCAATATCGGACGGTATTTGTATTGATCCTTCAAAAACAATAATACAACCAATTTAGAAAAGTATAATCGTTTGTGTACATGTTTTACTATTATTAAATAATTAATCTATGCATATCATACATAACTTAAGTATTAGAAATATAAAATGGATTTTTATTAAATTTATTTAAATGTATGATGTATGTTAAGTGCTCTGGCGCTAGACTGGTAGGTCTTGGGTTCGAATCTCGAGATGAGGGATGGTGGGTGCTCACTGCTGAGGAGTCCCGTAATAGGATGAAACGGCCGTCCAGTGCTTCCAGGTTTTCCCTGGTGATCTAGCTTCAATTGACTCACGTTTTCAACTATGAAAAATACTGAAATCTTCACAAAACCCCTTCTGATGTATGTTATATTGAATCAATAAATAATCTCAAGCTTGATCCCATCCTAACACAAATTATAAATCTTCACAAAGCTTAAGGATCTTTTATTAACCTAGTTTAATTTAAAGCTTTATTGATTATTCTGCATATGTGTTGTACAGTTCTGTTTTCATTGTGAGATATCAATTACTAGATTGTATATTGTAAATACTAATTTCAAGTTATATTCACTATAGAAACTTGAATCACAAATCAACCTAGTGATTACTTTATTTCATAATTCCCAAGGTAATTAATCAAACAATTGATCAATTCTATCATTGTTTTTATCAGTTACAAGCAACCTAAATATTTAACCAATAATATAGTTAAAAAGCAAATCATCAACATTATTCTCATGAATAAAATTTGACGAAAATTTGAAATCAGTCACCAAATCAGGATGATAAGACATATACCTATACATAGAAAACAAAATTATGCATTATTGATTCACTCACTTTCATTTTATAGGATTCATTCTTTTCTTATTATGTAATGAAGTGATGTAATTATTACTTGTTTTTTTTATAATAATGATCACTATCCACCTTATCTGCCTTACTTTGGATAGTTAGATTTTCCAGGATGAAAAATAAAATACATCAGTTTTAAATATAGTGTATGCTATTGTACTCTAATGTAATAATCTTCCATAATTTTATGTCATTTCAAATTTCTGTCTCATCTTTCAGTGTATTTAGTATCTAGGTAGAACTGAAATCCAAGACTTTCATTTCATCCTAGTTAGTACTTTTCAATCAGACGACTTGAATCCCCGGGGATTGATGTTTACACCAATACTTGAACCCAGGCTCAATCACTTTAAACGTGAACTCATTACTCACTCAGCTGAAGAGCCCGGTTAGCTATTGATATGATCAATGTGTATGAAAGTATCTATATAGCTTTGTAATTTTAACCATTTCACTTTCATCCTATGAATTCTTGTAATTGTAAGTTATTTGAAGCTAAACAAAAAATATTATACTCTATAAACCTTGTTGATGATTACCCTCTTTTAAAAATAATCTAAGAACCTAGGCTTATGATAGTGTAAGTTTTAGGAAAAAATGTAGTATACAAATACTAAATAATCACACTACTTCTTTCATGATTTACGGACTTTATTCAGTAGCTCATTTAAGTAGGTAGTTCTTTCTTGAAAATTAAACTGAATTATTAACCAAAATCTCAATCCATAATATGACGTCGTTAATCATTAATGAGATACACACGATTGACTTTTTGTTGCTAAGTTATATCATATTGAAAAATTAGTGAAACGATCAGAATCTACAATAGACATTAGACCTAATACAATCAAACCCCATGAAAAAATTCAATAATCAATTTTATTATTATGGATAAGATTTATTTAGCATCAAGCAACGGATGAATTAACACAACTGAACAACTGATGCATATCATGATGAAAGTATGGTTAGAAACACAGTCGCACACTTAGATAAAACAGCTTCACAGTAATATATAAGTAAAATGATGTAACTGTATAAAAAGAAACGTTTTAAAATTCAGTTACATTACTAGTAACCACTAAAAGATACAGTGGAATTAAGTAGACTCAGAAAGTTATGATTTTACTATCAATATTTCCATACAAATAGTTTCCTATAACTTGAATACAGAATAAATAAATTACACTTGACCGAGAAGCATTGGAAGATGTTGAAAGCTTTAAATATCTGGGCAGCATCATTGATGAACACAGTGGATTAGATGCAGATGTGAAGGCGAGGATCGGCAAAGCAAGAGCAGCATATTTACTAATGAAAAACATCTGAAACTCAAAACAACTGTGTGTCAACCAACACCAACCAACCAATTTTCAGTACAAATGTCAAAACAGTTCTACTGTATGGGGTAGAAATTGAAGAACAATGAAAACCGTCATCCAGAAGATACAAGAGTTTAGTAACAGTTGTCTACACAAGATACTTCGGATCCGTTGGTCAGACAATATCAGCAACAACCTACTGTGGTAGAGAACAAACCAGATTGCAATGGAGGAAGAAGTCAAGAAAAAGCGTTCGAAGTGGATAGGACACACACTGAGGAAGTCACCCAAAAAACATCACAAGTCAAGCACTCACATGGAATCCTGAAGGCCGAAGGAGAAGAGGAAGATCAAAGAACACATCGCGTCGAAAAATGGAGGCAGATATGAGAAAAATGAACAAGAATTGGATAGAACTAGAAAGGAAGGCTGTGGACAGGGCGAGGACAGATTGGGTTGTAGAATGTTGGTCGGTGGCCTATGCTTCATTGGGAGTAACAGGCGTAAGTAAGTAACAGAATAATTAGAAAGAAGGGAGCATCTGTTAAAGATGTTCCAAAACATCTTTACTGAAGAGAAATAAAGATAATGAATAACACAATTCCTCGATATCTTTAGACTACAGAATTTCATGCGGTTATTAGGAGACCATTTAACATGATTAGTAAACAACCAAGCTCTAGCTTCTTGAAATTTCCAGAAGCTATTTTCATCAAGCCTCAATAACCAGAGTGATTCGTTTCCAAGGTTGCTTTTATTAATCACCATACACACTGGTAACACAGCATGCATTTAATCGAATAATTTTTTCTTAATAGTTTCATTCATTTATACATCTCATCACACTATTATTACATTTCTAGACTCTCTTTATCAGCAAAATAAAATAATTCAAGTATGGTTTGTTTGAATATTCCCATTGGTGTTTAGGACTGCAACTGGTCAGTCTTTAATTGTCATAAGTGAATACTGTACGTATTGCCTTGATATAACCTTAATTCACAAGCATTCTAAACAAAAATGAATAGTGGTTTTAGCAGTGGAATCCAGGACACTGACGAATCACAAATAGGACGAAACGCACATCCTGGATTCCACTGCTAGCCACTATCCATCTTGGCTTACAAAATAAAATAATGTTTACTTAACTGAGCTTTACCTATTTTATTGTTTATTTATCATTACAGCGTATCTATTATATAATCATTTATTTCTAACCTTTTGATCTCTTGCTATTACCGATATTTTGACGTGTTCCTTGGTCTACAATATATATTTATAATATTTTAAACAGTCTGTCAACTTTGAATCTTTACTACAGTATACTAATATATGTTTACCTTTAATCAAATGCATTTTTTTCTAGGAGTTTCAAAGTAATTTCATCATTTTGATTTTGAAACACTACATGTTACAATTAGAACCTAACGAAAGAGAATATATGGCGAGACTATAGTTTATGGACGAACCAATCAGATATAAGATAATAGGTCTCGAATTTTGACGCGAAATTCACTCATCCATTTGGCTGAATAGAGTTTTGGCTATAAAGTTAATATCAGTTCGTGATGAAAATCCTAAATTTAATTTCTAACCTTAACCGTAAACCTTGAATCATAATTCTCATTCTTCATATTGGTTTGTAATCCTCATTTGGTTTTACTTATTAAATAGAGACTCAAAACGTCTTTTTGGCGTCACTCAAAGGTAATTCAAAACAGACATTCAGGAGACGTTATTTTAACAACTTCATGAACATTTCAAAGATTTCTTGAACATATCACCTAAATGAAAATTCATTGATTCTGCTTCCTATTATGAACCTTTTGTTTGAATCTTCTAGAATATTTTGGATGGTTTCATAATTTAAAAAAAAAGAAAAATATGAGTAATCTCAATAGTTTACTGCAATTCATTTAATCTTTTAATCTATTCAGATGATTCTACAATGAAATACGTACATATACAAATATGCATGAATTGGTAGTTAATTTTCACTATAGACAAATTAAAATCTACTGAAGCGTGAATCAAGTAGTATAATTAATTTTCATATAATTTTTTTTCCGCATTGATTTGTCACAGTGGAATGGTTTTATTTATTCATGAGTTTATTCACAAACTCCGCCTGTAGTTCTTCTAGAGCTACTGTCGGTCTCAAACCCGGGTAAAGGAGGAAGGGTAACAGGGGGGCGTAAGTAAGTAATATATTCACAATTCCTTCTATGATAATTATCATAGGGTTTTTTGTTTCAGTTATAGAGACGAGATATTTCTAGCAACCGTTATTTTATGGTACGGTGGTAGACAAGAATTATATATATATATATATATACATATGTTCAGTGTTATAAGCAACTAATCAATGTATTTAAATAAATGAATAATAAATGTTATTTATCCCTATATATATGATTGGAAGCTTAATAGGATAGGTTCAATCAGTCATAAGTTTATTCCTATCTAAGATGCTTAAAAGTCATATTCGAAATGATGTAGTCAAGTGAACTGAACGATTACTACTTGATGTAGATACCTTCAGTTATTATTTTTAGGTAAAAAAATCTTACTACTCAACAAATTATACTGGTAGGTCCTGGGTTCGAATCTCACGAGTGCGGAATCGTGGATGCGCACTGCTGAGGAGTTCTATAATATGACGAAACAGCCATCTAGTGCTTCCAGGTTTTCGATGGTGGTCTAGCTTCAATTGACTCATGATCTCAACTATGAAAATTATACTTTGTTTTAAATAAATGGAAAGCTTTACATCATAATGTTATGCATATTTTATGTTTAATTACTTCACACATTCACTTGACTTCTCCGTTTCTACATAATAATAATAATAATCGGTTTATTAAATATCTGATTCTAAGTCCCTCTTTTGTATCTATACAACTTGCAAATACTCAAATAAATATATAAAGACGTTTATAATTGTTATTAGCTACATCTCAAACTCATCATCAGCATTAGCTCTTACGACATCTGTTCATCACCAATAAATATACTTGATGCTTTTTTTCCCAAGGTATTCGTCTTTTATTTTGTAAAAGAACGAATACGTGTGAAAATTCACTAACAACTATGGTGATTGTGTCTGAATGCTTTACTATTTAACATTATAGATGTTTTGTATACTTTAAATAAGAGCTTTTGAGTACATTAGACAATTAACATACTTAAAAAGGAAGAATTGTTTTTCAGTGAATTGTGAATGGTAACTTTGAGGACTATTTATAGACCAATATGATATGTATATTTCCTATTGTATAATTGTTAAGTAACTAAACTATTCGTTATAAGCTTATATTATAAGCTTTATTTTGACTCATAGACTATTACCATACGATTTACCATTCTTGAATTATCCCCAGTCTATTGATTACTGCCTCCCATATTCACAGCCACATTTGGCTGAATCTTGTACACATTTTATTTTCTATTTTATGGTACGATGTGATCAGTTTGATTGATATATCAACTCATATGTTTGAAATATGAAGATTCATACGACAGAGACTGTTATTGATGTTCTGAACTTAACTGGCTGGGCTAGGCAGAAAGCAGGATTGATAAGTACTCAAGACTGTTTATACAACTTTCGTGTATCATTGCTCCGATCGATAATTCGCTCTTCTCTCATTGGCACGAATCAGCATGTTCATATATCAAACAGGGCACTCACGCACCTACCAGTTTCGTGCGCGAGAGCTACATTTCAACCTGTTGTTCTACAGCAATTCATGACTCTAGTCTTCTCCTTTTATCAGTCCTCGTTAATTTTTTAATTTTATAATCTAGAAGAAATTTATATCGTTTATGTATTCAACTATTTAACGAACGTTTTAGTTAACAATGTCACCTATTTACAATCTAGTCAGGATAGAACAAACAGAATTATATTCTGTTTAATAACAAGTCACTAGATGTTGAATTAGAGTGTGAAACGCAGCCATACCAAACTTCAATCGAAAATTAAATCGATCACATTTTAAAATGAGGTAGTTCATAAAATAAGTTAAAATCTTCATGGATGAACATAAAAGTTTTTCTGATTATATTCTTTTGATGAGTATTAGTAGTCATGATGACCAACTACATAGTCTTTCTTGATATTTAATAAGGGAACATAGTAACTGTTATATTATATCACTTAAAAATTATGAGACTCCCTAATCAGTGATTAATGGTCATCATCATCATACTGATCAACATCAAAGTTAAATTTTTTCTACTTTTAGAATACAATTTTAAAATTATAGCGCTAACGTTACATTCAGTTGATATACACATTTGTCTACGTCTTGCAAAATAAACAAGCATTAAATTTATTCAGAATAAAAACAATATGGTGATAACTTCAGAATATAATCTCAAAATAATATCAGAATGGGTTTTGTAGAGATTTAGTATTTTCATAGTTGAAAGCGTTAGTCGATTGAAGCTAGACCACCATGGGAAACCTGGAAGTACTAAACGATCGTTTCGTCCTACTGTGGGACTACTCAGCAATACGCACCCACGATCCTGTCTCGCAAGATTTGAACCCAGGACCTACTAGTCTCGCACCAGAGCACTTAACCGATAGAATAGTAATACAGAATAACATACAAAACTACTAGTGAGTTATCACTAGCTTTAAATAATGTTCTTCTGCAGAGATTTTTTAAAATTTATGTATGATATTGGTCAGGGATTAATCTTATTTAGAATAAATGTAAAAACTAAACAGCACTACACAGTTGCATCATTCTGATAGAAGCTCTTTAAATAATTTAATGGTTCACAATGGTCCGAATCCAGGAGCTTAAGGTTATTTGAGTGAACCCATTTATAATTATACTACTGAGATGACAGTATACATAAAACTAATCAATACAACTTCTCACTAGATATTTAGATACTTATCTCCAAGTTAGTG